TCTCCATGTTTTGAAAGTTCACTTACTGTGTTTGTTCACAAAATTTCGTAGTCATTTCTTCCTAAAAGCTATCATTCAAGTTTCTTTCGTGAAAATTTCAATTTTTAAATATTAAAAACTATGTATATGCTAGGGGGAGCTTAAAAAGTTTAGAGAGGATTAGGTGGGACATAGCACAAAAAAGGTTGGGAAACACTGATTTATTGTAAATGTAGACAGCTTCTTCTCCTTTTAACTACACTCATGGACACAATCGTATTTTAGGAAATTTTCTACTTCTTTTCCTTTTCTTTCTATAGGCCCTTTTTTTTTCCCCCTCTATTATTTTTGGGCCATTTATTCTAAATTTTATTTTGTCCCATCTCTTTTCTTCCTGGCCTTTTGAACTCATACAAAATGTACGAAGTTCCTTTTTACTCTACTCAAATACGAAATTGCCCCCCTTTCTATATACCTTTCCTTCGCACCTATGCTTGATTTTTTGCTTATCGGTGAAGAAAGACTTAGTGGGTGCAAAACAAGACATCTGTCTACTTTGTCTGTCTGTCTACAAATTTCTTTCCATATGAAAAAAAAAAAAAAAAAAGATTTTATAAATGATACTCATAGGCCAAAACATTACTGTACTTGCCTATTAAAGCAGAAATTACCAAATTTTCAGAATGTGCCAAACTCTAGCAACAATGCTCATAATAATCCTCCAGTCAAGCAATTTTCATATGCATTCTTTATTTGTTGTATTCCAAGTTTCAAAAGTTATCATGAACAAATCCTAATAGTTTTAAAATATAAGCTTATTTGCCAGAAATAGAAGAAAATATGGTAAAACTTTTGCAGGAATACTGAATTTCGCTAATAATTTTCTAAAGTGAAAAATAAGGAAATGCGTTTCCCCAGTAACCACTTTTGCTGAGGATTCCATGAAGCTGAGTCTGATTTTTTTAAGCAAAAACAGATCACTGTGTATTTCAAGAGAAGAATAGCACAAAAAAATTATAGAAAGATTTGAAGAAGAACATAAATATTTAATTTCTTTAACATGCCATGTAATCCTTATTTAATGATTTATATTTGTTTTTAAATTGCTGTTTTCTTTTCATATGTTGATAATGTTCACTGACTTATGATAAATTGATAGTTTGGGAATCTTTCTACGAAAAGGCAACAAATTCACGAACTTGCACCTGATAAGTAACTAGTAGTATTACCTTTTCACCTGTAAAAAAATCACCAAATTGCACAAAGGTGGCTACATTAATACCTAAGTCCCAAGATTACATTTAGTTTTGTGTGAATTGAGAATACCTGATTTGTTATTCAGATAAGCCCAAAACAGGCACCAGGTCTATTGCGACCACACCAGGCAGCAGAATTTAGTTCAAGTAAAAATTTTAGAATTTAGAGAAGCACCAAGAAACAAAATTAAGGGATGGCAATATCTTTAGAAGTTAGAAAAGACACTGGGCTGCAAAATTTTTAGGATTTAGGAAGGCAGCTTGGTGACAGAATTTAGGACATGCAGACTGCACTGGGCAGTCAAATGCCTAGCTATGTCCTTAAGTACAAGTAGGAATTTATTTTTTATTTTATTTATTCAGATAAGCCTTAAGAATGTGTGGGGAATAGGTGTAATTAAATCAATAAATAAATTAATATAAGTGCAGCTTAACTTCGTCAGCATGTGACAGAAGCAAGACAAAAAGTTAGCGGAACAACATGTCTTTAGTTGCCATCTCATGACATGTCACCAATAGAGTATAGTAGATGCTAGTTAAGCTTTCTGATGATACCACGACTTTGTAGATTTTCTGATATCGCAAACAAAAAGCAACATTTCCCAATTAGTGGATTTTGTGAAGAAATCTGGAGAATTGGTAATAAATGAAGATGATATGACAGAAGCTTTTCATTGCAGTGACAATGCCGCAGTGATCAGGTCACTAACTGATGGTTAAATCTGTCATATGGTTCCAATATAGAAAATATTGGAAAGAGGGTCAGTTGAATGCTTAGCAAGCACAAGTATCACTACCAATAGTGCAAAAAGTTACAGTGACAGGTTGTTGAGAACAAAAACATTTTAATTGGCAATTTAGTTGGAATTCTTAACACGGCAGGTTACAGAACTGGAACAATGGAACTTTGTAGAAGAACAGGAAATGGTTAAAATTTACTCTATTGTATTCCCTGGTGAATCGTTTCTTTTTTGATGGCAAGATCAATACACAAAATCGAGGCAATGCACCACCAGAGTTGTAGCTAGGGTTTTGAGCGCCCAGGGACAACTGAAGATTTCGTGCCCCCTACTGCTTGCCAAGGATGGAAAACATTTAATTCTAAAATGTCGTAACATCAGTTTGGCGCCCCTTGGATTCTGCGCCCTTGCCCCCCTCTAGCTGCGCCCCTGTGCACCACCCGCTACACAAAATTAAACAAAAAGTCAAAAACTTACACAAACTTAGTGTCCACGTACACATTGACCTATTTTAACTTAAAAAGTCAGAGAATTGCACACTGCTTTAACTTTGTCCATGTACACATCAATCTATTTTCACTTAAACAAAATCAGGAAGCTAAAACAAAGTTAAAACTATCATGTTAACTATAAAAAAATCGCCGGTGTCTCTTAACACACAGAGATGAACAAATAACCAAAAATACAGACAAACAGAGAGTAATAAATAACCAAAAATACATATTTCCTAACATAAAAACATTAAACAACAAATCTTTTAACAAAAATTAACATGCAGAGATGAATAAATAAATAAAACGTCAATTTTTTAACAAATCTTCACATTCGTATGTTCACACTTCCCACCATCATCTCCTCCATCCTCCTCGTAAGCAATTAAATTTTTGGTAGTTTCGGCTCATCCGCTGTTAATCAACATTCATCCTCTTACCCACCTCAGACATATTCAAATGATGGTACCCACAGCAAAATACTAGCAAATTCAAAATCCAAGACCATACTATGCACATCCAAGCAAACACAGCAACTGAAAACCCAACCCGGATGGATCCATACAAAATGGTTACTATTACAAAAAATAGCAAAAATCTAAATTTATCACAACACATTTGGCGATATTCGCAGAAATAACCTTTAATGACAAAAACTAAAAGAAAAAAAAAATTTTTCCCCAAGGCTAATTTTTGTGAACATTATCAATATTAGGATTACCTAAAAACCTATTTCACGAAGCGGGCTTCCAGATTACCACTTGATTTTTTTCAGACAGAAACCAAGGGATACTATACAGTAAAAATCAACCCAAAAAATTATGCCTATCTATAGAATTAAAGCGAAGGTATTAGTATAAAAAAAATGAAGTAACTTGCATAACTTACATTGAAAGAAATGTTTATAGAAGCAAATAAATTAATAATGAGCTTTTTGTTTTTGTAAATTTTGATTTGGCCTCACAAAAAAGTAATAATATGACAGGATGGGCACCATTTTTCTGATGCAATGTCACAGGGGTGAATTGGAAGTTAAAGCTGGAACGCTGCTTTTTTGGCAACACCATGTCGCCAACAAGGCTGCCCCAAAAGCCAGTGTAACTGAATTTAGATACAGCAAAACTTTTAGAATTTGGAAGAGGAACTGAACAGTAAAATTTATAGGTGAGAAAATTTTAGAATTTAGGGAGGCACTGGACAGTAGAATTTAAAACCCAAGAGATAACACTGAGTCTCAAAATGCTTAGTATGCCCTGGTAGCCAGATGGACAGTCGACTGACAGACAGCATTATCTTTTAAGTACTTTCTGATTATCAGCATCCACAATTTCAATATACTAGAATTTCTAACATATTTGAGTACACATTTATAGACACTTTTTATAGTTAATGATCATTTTCTAGACCTAAGAGCCAAAAGCTAGCCAAGCAAAAATTTTTCATCAATTCACAAAGTTGGCAATGATTTCATGACTTTTCACTGGAGTGCATATAATCAGAAAAGATCAAATATTTCTGCTAGTGAAAGTTATTAATTTCTACTATTTTTTTAACAATTTCTTTTATTTGCACTGTGCCCATGGTTCTTTTGATAACATATGCGGGATGACAAGGGAAGAAAGTTTCAGTATTTATCTCCTATATGGAAATAATTATTATCCCACTCACAAGTAAAAAGAACAGCAAGGAGGGAGAAAAAGTGTCTTTTTTGCCCCTGGCTGGTCCTTTTACTTGCATCTTCCTCTTGGCCTCTTTGTTCATAAAATAGGAACCATGATAGAAGGGGTAGTATACAGATCACAACTCCGTGATACAGATAAAACTTGGATATAAAAGTAATCTTAAAATCCAGAGTTTGTTTCTGACTTAAAACAAATGAGGCATGCATTGGTTAAATATAGATTTATGTTCCAGTTTTCATTTATCATCCCACAATCATGTAATTTTAACAGACTATTATGCAAATATATTTCAAAGCATGCAATAAAAATGAAGATAACAGTTTTAATGAAAATCTATAATATGTAAAGCTGATATATATAATATATTTGCAGTAATAGGAATTCACTGATGTTGAAGTGACTAATAACCAGTGCTACTAAGGAACATTTCAAAGTTATTAAGAATTTGCTCAAAAGGTTTTTTTTTTTCCATTTTTTAAAGTGAAAGAAAACTAATCATACATTGTTGATGTTTTCAAATAGTGATTCTTAATAGCTTTTGATTTAACCTAAATTCTTATGTTGCATAATACATAAATGAAAAATCTGTAAATAATTTTTACGTCGAATGTCATTATTTATTGAAATCCTAATTACTATGAATTATGCATTGAATATTTAAAATTATAAACTGAATACGAATATATATTTTTAATTACTTTGCTTTTTCTGCATTACTGCACACTTTTATAATTTCATTGTTTAAAATGCTTCCCCTATGACACATATAGTTAAAAAAATCATATTAAAAAGTTATGAATTTAGCATGAATGAAAAGCATTTTTTTTAAGAGTACAGGCATATTATTCTTACTTTTTTCACACCAACATCTGTCTTCCAGCTTTCAACAAGCAATTTGTTATTTGTAGAAAAAAGTTCAGTATATCCACAACCCTATTTAAATAACATTTTGCGTTATATTAACATAAAATTTCCAAAGTAAAGTTGGAAAATAAACAAAGACAAATAGTAGAGAAATGTATTCAATTATATGATTAGCACAAATACAAATATTTATTAATCGCACTATTTTGTTGCAGTTGTTACCTTAAATTCATTTTGAGACATTTCATTGAAAAATATAGTTATCGTTAAATCTTGCATAACATAACAATACGTTTTTCTTGCATAACATAATAATACGTTGAAAACTCAGATACACTCATCAGAATATCTAATGCAGTTTCAAGAAAAACTTCATCATAACTGGAAACTCAAAAAACGCGCGTTGTTATTTTTCGATTTTCTGCACGTTCTGTTTCCATTAGACTTCTTCCACATAAAACATTTAATGAAATAGCAGCCCTTTGAAATGCTTTATCAGAAATAATAAGTGTTATGTATTTAAAGCAAAGAATATATTATTCTTTATTTAATTTAACATCATGCTGCGTATATTTCACATTTACGGTACACATTACAGTTCACATCTGCACGTTTGATTTCAGCTTTTAATTAAATTTATTTAATACCTAAAGCAATGACTTATTTAAAATTGAATTAAAAATAATAATATTAAGAAAAATCATTTTATCATAAACAAAAAATGCGATACAATTAAGTTACGTTTTTATCATAGCTTACGAACAGACCCTAATGACCTCTCGGCAGTAAGAAGACCGCAAGTAAGAAGCAGATGCAGCGATGTATTTTGTGAGAACCGCCTCCTGATATCGGAGTGTTTTCTGTTTCACAAATTTTTCTTAGTTTTCGACAATGAGTTAATAAAACATCCCTAAAAAGTATATATTGGTATTTGATTTACTTTGTTGTTTAATCTAATTAAGACACCGTTACGTAGTATGAAAATTGTTTATGTTGTGAATTATCTGTTATTAACTAAAAGGCAAGTGTGTGTTAAACTTTTTTTCGGAAATAAATATTCCTGCAACTTTTTAACCATCAATGAGACCTTTTTGAAAATATTGGAATTATTTAAATTTGTTTTATCTTGAGCATTTTTATCTTTTATCTTTAAAACATTTTGTCTTTGTTTTTTTAATTGCTCTTTACATTATTAAAATGTATTAACAAATTATGTAATTTATATTTTTCTTTTGGATTTCAGTTTTTGCACTGTTGGGAATTAAGTATTCTATTAATCTTAATGTAATGATTTTATTTTCGTAACTTTTTATATAGTATTATAAACTGGAATTTCTCTGATTTAAAATGAAAGGAAAGCTGTAGAAAACTGAATCGGACCACCCATTAAAAAAAATCATTGCAATAATTTCTTTAAAAGAAAAAAACATTAATATTTGTCCTTTATGACCGTAGAATTCTTTGGAAATGAATCAGTTTGAAGCACATTTTACTTAGGTTATGTATAACAATAATAATTATAGTATGAAAGTTCACTTTAGCAATGCATTCCTAAACTAAAAAAATAACCCACTTACAGATTTTCATGTTGAAGTTATTTTTCAGTCATCTAATCCGTATAATTTTTTTAAAATGTATGTTATATTTTTTCATATTTATTCTGAATATCTTCATGGTGTTTGAAATTATAAAATAATTGAGATGTGTTCAATTGAGAAAAGAAATAAACAGTTTATGCAATAGTTTCAAATGAAAAAGTATACAGTCTTTAATATGATTTTTTATAGTTTTTGGATTTTTCCTAACCACCTCAGAATTTCTGTTTTGTGATATGACAGTGAAAATTTTTTGTAATGATATGTCAGTGCAATTATTTTATTACAACAATTCACTTTTATTTGAATTATAGTCATTCTTACTAATGTTCTGAAGATTTAGATTTTCAATCTCCAGTAATATTCATGATTGGGTTGTTTTGAATTTAGGTATTTGTATTTTTTGATTTGTGCATTATGGATTGTATAGTGGGATACAACATAGATACTGTTCCTAATTTTTCACATTTACTATTTTTTAACTTTTTTTTCATTTGATGTTATTTCCATATTTACATTTGGATTGAGATTAAATGTTAAAATAAATAAATAAATGAAAGTTTAAAAAGCATTTAAGCATTTTTGACATGTTGCTATAATTTTGGAAACTTGATAAAAAAATTAATTTGAAATTAAATTTAAAATGTATTTATAATTTTACTTTATTAATTTAAAGGGCTTTAAGTTTATGAAGTTATTAATTTCAGCTCCTTGTGATTTTTGCATAAGAATTTGCTCTTGAAATTTCAAGATAATATGTATTATATTGTAAATGCAGTCTGTATGAGATTGCATATAAATTTAACCCTTCAAAGCACCAAAGCATTTGGCTTCAAAACCTTAAAATTTTCAAAGGAACCAATTAGATAAAGCTTTAGGATCATAACTAACATAAGCCAAATCTCTATTGCTAGGTAACCACTATTGCTGCATCACAGAAACTGGTATAAGGATTTTCTCAAAAAGTTTTAAATATTCAGCTTTATGCCAACCTAATGTAAGAAATCACCAGTCATAGTAAAGCTTCATACAACTTACAGGCTTATTACTTCATGCAACCTGTGAAATCAAATTTCACAGGTTGTATGAAGCCAATAACTTTTATGTTTCGTGAACTATGTCTTGTAATAGCTATATTACTATTTGTGTGTTTCTAAAAAAGCCATGAGGAAGTGGTACTGATTATTTTGTATGTGATTCTTCATGTCTATCGGGAGAAAGATTTTTAAACATTTACAACAGACTACTTGGAGAGTTAAGAAATTTATGAGGCTAATCTTTGGAATATGGTAACAGGTAGTTTGGCGACATTTTGGTAAGGCGATAAAGGTTACCAGCTAGGACTTTAGCAGTGTACATGGATAAAGTCAAGAGTGTGTGCAATGCAATTTTTGTGCAATTATGGGATGTTTTTTTAAGTGAAAATAGGTCGACGTGTACATGGTTACCGTGTATATGTGCAATTCTTAAAAACATGCGGAAAGCAGTGGGCGATTCTGCACTTTCTCCTGAATTTCGTACCTAATCTTCGTCATGATTAAGGCCCTTTTGTTCCATAAAAGGTTCTAGCATAAGCGTTGATTCGGCTAGCAGATTGTTGGAAAAAAAATGTTGAGTTAAAAAAAGAAGAAATGCCTTTACTTCGTGAAAAACATAATGGCATCCAAAAAAAAAAAAAAAAAAAAAAAACTAGCAGGTTGCTGTAGCAGGGTTGGTCGCTAAATTTTTGCCAAAAAATCGCCAAGTTACTGTAATCCAAAGATTAATCATTTATGATTACGAAAGGTCTATCTACAAAAGTGTATCTCGCATACTGAAGAAATGGAAATTTTTAAATAAGTCGATATTTCCTTTTTGTATTGCGCAGATTACATAACTCGTAATTCCATTTTTATGTTATTTCTCTGTTTGATTTGAAATGCAGTTTATTGAGATTATATATTTTTTGTTTTAATTATGTTTTGGACGCCATTTTGCTGTTGTTGGGCGTAAACAGGAATAGCGCAAAAATCGCCAATTTTCGCCAAAGGTTACCCTGAAATATATTTTTACCACTAAATCATTTATTATATCCTTTTTTTTAGTGTGGTATAATTTATTATGTTGAATAGGTAAAAATACAGCTTTCTTTAAATTCTTAACCCTCTGAGTGGCATGACCAGGTTTAGGCGATCAAGAAAACCTACTTCATAAGTGTTACGATGCTTCTTGGTGGTCAAGAGGAACTTGGTTCAAAGCGTTAATGACACTTTAGGCAGTTGGTGATGAGGATCTTGAAAGCGTCATGATTTAAAAGTAGTCGTGCAGATGTCCCATTGACTTCCTTACTTCTGGAACCCTTGGGATATCTGAATGACAGTACAAAGTAGAGAATCTTATGAGGGTTCCTTTGCTTCATTTTAAACCACTATGTTTGGTTGCCAATAAAAGTGCTTGAACATATTACAATTTCATATAAATAACAAACAGACGTGGACATTCTCCCCTAAAAGAGTAAATAAATAAATTAATTAAAGTGTAAAATTTTTCCAATATTGATTTTAAAGGAATCATACTTGTATAAAATATCCTTTAATTTCCATGCACAGTCGTCCTCACTAATAATAAATAATCCAGTAAACCTCCCCATGCGCAAACACACGTAAATATATTTTCAGCAGCTTGAAATGGATATGTATTTATGAAGTATTTATTTTTTTATAAACGGTGAAAGCTATGTAAGCTCAATGAAACGCAATTATTTCTCAGATAGTTTCACAAATAAACTTGCAAAAGGGCTTGCCTTTTGTGAATGTTTGGATGCTCATTGAAATCTTTCACTGCATCACAAATGTTTTGGAGGCTCCTAATGGTTAGGATACACAATCACCTGAGAATGGCTTTCCAGTTCTAAGTTACTTAGAGATGAGGGGAATTGTTATTTGATTCCCAAAAACTTTATGACCTGCTTTCATGCCAAAAGATTTTAAAACTGCATAATATATTGTTATACAGATGCTGTTTCTGTCATACCTTGAAACAGAGAAATAGAAACATGAGATTGTGTTTAATACTAAAAATTTAATACAGAATTGTTCTAAATGGTGAAAAAAATTAAGATGTTAACTTAATTATGTTATTTATTCAGAATAAATGTGTATTATTATTGTATGAATAAGAATAATGTGTATTATTTATTCAGAGACCTTTTTCATGAATTTAAATTAAATTTGAAAGTGCATATATTCATTTTCAAAATAATGAAAATTCATTTAAGAAATAGACCAAAGTGCTAAAAAATATGTCACAAGCCATAGCTATGGTTTTCAGTGAAAAACTGAAGATTTTGCATTTCTGTCTTGTTAGTCAAGAGTGGAAAACATTAGTAAAAATATATTTCAGGGTACCTCTTGGTGATTTGCAGGCATGATTCCTGTTTATGTTCAATGCCTTCCCCATAAAATGGCATTCAAAACATAATTAAAACAAAAAATATATAATCTCAATAAACTGCATTTTAAATTCAACAATGAAATTACATAAAAAATTAAATGTATGCTATCTCATCTATGCAGTAAAAAAGGAAATATCAACTTACCTTATTTAGAAATTTCCATGTCTTCAGTCTGTGGCAAACAAAATTCCGTAACGGCATCCAAAGACTTTCTAAAATTATCTGTATACTGCCGTCGCCACATCAGTTCACAAAAGTTACAATAGAAAATATCCTCCATAGTGCTGTACTGTCGGTGGCATTTCTTTAGGAAATTCCTTTTTATTACACTCTGCGTACCTTCAATAGTGTTAATATGAGCTCCGGCTTCCGGATCCTTAAATTTCACTGCGTAATTTACCAAGAGGTGAATGAAGCCATTTAAATCTGCATTTACATACCAGTCAATTAATGCATTTGTCCCTTTCATTCCAAATTGTACAGAAACTTCAGATTAATCTTATCACGTACAGCCATTTTACGATGTAAAGCCTAAAATAAACAGCATACTTCAAATAACCAGCATCTAACACATAAATAAGCCTTTTGGATGCTGCTCCTGGGTACAGATGTCTACTCCTAGGCCCTCTCTAGCTATAGTCACTAGTTATAAGTCAGTTTAAAAGACTGAAAGCTAAAAAAAAAAAAAACTCATGTCGCATTTTGACCTTGGGTCTGTTCAGTCGTAGGTACCCATATTCAGTTACTGTCACAAATTTTGTATGTGATTATATAATTGCTCATTATGAAATTGTAAAATTATGTTTTAATTGAAAGTGATATATGCAGGTTTTATCCTGTTAAATAAAATGAATTCTTAAATAAATCTTCCATGTGACAGCAAAAAATGTGTAGAACTATGAGGCACGAGTTTCCAAATTTTTTCATACATGCACCTTAAAACATATTTATTTAATGATAAATTAAAGCACTGTGTGCAGAAATCTCTTGTAACAGTTCTGTTAACACTCTTTGAAAATAAATACAACATAATGTGCCATTGTCTGAAAGATTCCTTGGTAGTGAAAATCCTCGGCTGTGAAATATTCGCCAAATTTTACTATTTATACCTCGAGATTTTCATTAATTTTCAATTATACCATCCTCCCCCATGATGAAATAATTTAACCTTCTAGTATGTACACAAAATAATATCGAAATATTCAACAATTATTAAAGAGGCAAAATTTACATACAATACATTATTCCTAATATTTAAAGACTATTTTAAACGAGTCTTAGCAATGCTTAATTTCATCATATTCAATGAAGTGCTGACCTAATATGTAATGAGATTATTCAACAAATATAAGTATAATTTGAATTAATTCTTTTTCTATGGTTAAGTTTTATTATCCCAAAGAAAATCTCTCTTCAGCATTCAAAGGCTTTATGTACGATGGTTTACCATTGGTTTTTCCCCATCACTGAGGCAATTTTAAATATATCCCTTATCGTCTCTGAAAAAATATTGAATGATCTTTTCACATCTCGCATGACTCTTACTGGAATATTTTTCAGTAGTATTTATTGATAATATGTATTGGTCAAATAATTTATTATTTGAATTATATTCAGCAGGGAACCAGACATTGTGCTTGAGAACTTTTTTGTTGAATGCACCAGAGTGTAATTTTATTTTGCCTCATTTTGACCTAATTCCTGAATCAGTGTTAATAATTTTAAATCGTATTGTCTTAAAGCATGGATGTACTGTGTACTTGTAAAGTGAGTATTGTAATTATTATGTGCTTGTTTTACTAAAAACACTTTTACCTTTGTGTATAAAATCAATATTTATTTTTAAGTCTCTTATTTTCAGGTGAAAATGGAGGAAAATGATCCTAGCTCGGTAAACCATTGCAAAAATGATGATCCAAATTCATTTTCTGAACCTAATTCTCCAACTCTGGAAACAGTCTCTGGCTTTTCAACATGTTCTTCCCCAGTGCCTCCAGAGCCATTTGAACCTTTGTTTTCTGTTAAGTTTTCAGGCACTGTTGAGAAAGATGGGGATATTGTAAAGTACACCATTAAGTCAATAAAAGTAATTATTCATTATTTTAAGTTAGTTTGATTATAAATTGTTAATGTGTTATGTACGAGGTGTTTAAATCATTGTACTTATCAGAATCAGTTTTCCGTGACATTATCATCTTCAAAGTAGTTCCCTTCAGCACTCGCATACTTCTGCATTGAGTTCTGTCTTTGCTGGTAACAAATTTTAGAAGAGGTTTTTGGAATGCCCATCATGAGATTCTCTGTTTTTGCCTGAACCTCTTTGACTGAAGTAAAATGGGTTTTCTTTAAGCAAGGTTTAACCTTAGGAAATAAAAAGAATGTTGGAGCCAAAACAGATGGATAAGAAGGATGCCCCATAACAATAATGTTTTTGCTGGTCAAAAACTGCTTGACAGATAGGGCTATGTGAGCAGATGCGTTGTCCCCGTTCAACAGGCATTCATCACTCCATGATTGTGAGCCTTTTTTCCTTAATTTTTTTCATTAAGTCATTTTAGTACTTCAGTGTAATAGTGTTGATTAACAGTCTGACCACTGGGGACCATCTCAATCATTACAGTTCCAAGCAGTTGTTTCAAACTCCACTCTTTTTTCAAGCTATATGCTTAGTTTCTTTCTTTCTCTTTTTTTTTTTTTTTTTTTTTTTTTTTTTTTGCGTGTGTGTGTGTGTCATGCCTCGTATAAAGTTTTATATTTGTAGCTTAATTGACATTTTTCCTTGTTTGGTTTTGAAGCATTTTTGATGTGGCAATGTATTCTGAGAATTGAAGTTACAAGATATTTTTTAACATTTTAATGAGATTTCCATCAGGACATAAAGGTGTAAAACTAAAATGGGGGGAGTAAAATTAATACATTTAAAATTTTAAAATTCCTATAAGTGGCATTATTTTAATGCAGACCAGAATCAAGTAATGTAAGTTAATTTCATTATTTTTTCATGTAATCTAAATGGTGATTACATCTAGCTACAGATTGTTACGTCCCTCTGAAGCCAGATGGCGCTGCTATTGTTTGTGTTAAAAAAATAATGTTGATGTGGGGGTGTTGGCTTCAATGGCGAAGCAGAGAGTGATTGTGGGAGCCTGAGCGTCTTCTAAAAATTAGTATAATAAAGATATGTTACAGAGTAGTTTGTTAATTAGTTAATTAAAAGTTACAGTCCATTTAGAATTCGCCGGACCATTTGAGTGGTCCTTCGAACCGGAGAGATATCAGCTAAGTAAATAATCTAGTGCAAAACAGTGAGTTTGCCATTTTGTTTCAATGGAATTTGTGTTTGTGGATTATAGCCAGTTGCTGAAAGAAAGGGGTAAGTAAAAAAACCCTTGAAACTATTCGATATTAACTGTTGCATTTAGTAAATTCTGAATTAAGTTTGTGTGATAATTTGTTATTGATAAGTGTAGCGAAAATGGCTACAAAACTGAAAGATGTTCTCACTAAAAAGATAACTCAAAAAACTATCTTATCGAAGTTGCAAAAGAAACTTTGTGAGCCAGATTTAAGTGTTAGTGATTTAGAATTGTTAAAAACTAAATTTAACAATCTGCAAAATGAATTCGATAATGTTTCTGATTCTATTATCAATTTAAGTAGTGAAGAAAATATCAAAAAAGTCTTCAGTGAGCAAGATGAAATCAATAGTAGTATTATTGATATAAAATTTGAAATAAATAATAGATTGTTGAACGTTGTTAAAGAAAATAAAGTAGAAAATGCAGTAATTTCTGAAAATACTGTTGTTCATTTACCTAAGATTTCATTACCATATATTTTCAGGAGAAATGCATTCTTGGCTTTCCTTTAATTATATTTTTAAAAGCGAGTATTGATCAAAACCCAAAATTTATCAGATGCTGTAAAAATTGCAAGTATTTGAAATCAGCACTGAAAGGAGATGCTTTTAGAATTATCCAAACGATAGCTATAACGGATAATAATTATAAGTTAGCGTGGTCTCTCCTTGAAGAAAGAAGAAAGATACTCGAATGCTAGAGAACAAGTGTATGCTCATCTTAAAAGATTTATGAGTATTCCCGTTATTCAAAACGAGTCAGCTTCTGCGGTTCTAAATTTAATTGATGTCATGAGTGAAGTTGTAAGATCGTTAGAATGTTTAGAAGAAAAGTTAGATGGGGTTTCATCTGCTATATTTGCTTTTATTCTTAGCCAGAAACTTTATCAGAATACTAAGTTATGGTGGGAAAGGAATTTAATGAAAGAAAGAATACCGAACATTACAGAGTTATTAGAATTTCTAAAGGATCACGCGAGGACATTAAACGCTTCTAGAATTCCAGTAATGTCTAAATCAAAAAGCTTCAGTAAGTCAATCAAAGGTTTCTTCAATGGTTTCATGTGTGACTGAAAACGTGCTTTAATTTGTAAACTGTGTAATGTGGAACATAAATTATTTAAATGCCCTAAATTTCAAAAATTCAGCTTAAAGGATAGAGTCGAGTATGTTAAAAAGCACAACTTATGTTTCTGCTGTTTTGGAAATCATGGAGTGAGAAATTGCCCTTCAAATTACTCTTGTAGGCTATGCAGAAAAAAGCACAATTCGTTACTGTGTTATGAGCGAGAAAAAGTTTCGATTTCCCAAAATAGAGAGAGTTGCGAAATCGCCTCTCTGTCGGATCAAAAGTCAGATGCCAGTTCGTCTACGGAAGTAGCGAAACTGAACAATGCTCACACAGAGCCATTTATAAATAAGGATAACGAGTGTCTTATGACAGCTAATGTAAATAAAAATTTTAATGCAGTTAATATCCTACTATCGACAGCGATTGTTTATGTTAAGGGAAATGAAGGAGAAATATTTCCAGCCAGAACTTGGCTTGACAGTGGAAGTATGATTCATCTTTGTTTATCGGAATTAGCTGAGAAGCTTCATTTGGAAAGAGGAAATGTAAACGTATCAGTAGGATGTTTATCTGAGATTTCAACAACGGTGAAATCAAAAATAAGTGCGGTTATTTTAAATAGAGGAAACACATACAGTCGTAAACTAGATTTTTTCGTAATTCCGAAAATTACTCATTTGATGCCTTCTAGACAAATTGATGTCTGTAATATTGAGATTCCACAAGGAGTTACGTTAGCTGATCCAGACTTTCACAAACCGGGTAAAATTCAGTTACTTCTTGGATCTGAAATATTTTTCGATTTGATAAGATCCGGGCAAATTTATGTACCCAAAACAAATTTAGTGTTACAAAACTCAGCATTTGGGTATTTAGTGAGCGGGAGCATTCAAGATTTACCAGATGAGAAACAATTAATGCATTGTGGGTTAATTTATAACAATGCCGAAGCACAGTTGAAGAAGTTTTTTTGATTTGGAATCAATTGGTATCAGAGATGATCCCAATTCTTACGATGAAGATAAAGCATTAGAGATATTCAACAAAACTGTTAGTTTCAAAGATGGTCGGTATATTGTTAGTCTGCCTTGGAAGAAGAAAACGTTGGGAACATTTAGGCGACAATTTTGGTGTCGCAGAAAAAAGAATAAAAATCCTGATGAGAAAAATGCAGCATGATAATACATTATACCTTGAAATATAGAGAAACTTTAGAAGAGTACCTAAATCAAGGGATAATAGAAAGAGTATTAGATTCTACGAAACCAGTAAACAAGCCAGTTTTTTATATGCCGCATCAGGCAGTTTATAGAGAAGAAAGCATTACAACAAAAATGCGTATTGTATTTGATGCGAGCTCACATGAAATAGGTAGTCTGTCCCTGAATGATTGTTTGTGGCCAGGTATTAATCTGAATCAAAATATATTTCACTTGCTGATATATTTTAGACTTAATAGAGTTGCAATCTTAGGAGATATCGAAAAAAAGGCATTTTTACAGATCGTGTTAGCTGAGAAAGATCGAGATGCAGTTAGATTTTTATTTGTTAAGAATATTGATACACCTTTGCAGAATACCGACGATCAGCTAGAAGTGTATAGATTTAAGCGTGTGCTCTTTGGTGTTAATTCCAGTCCTTTTTTGTTAGCGGCAACTATATAAAGCTGCATATCCAAAAAGTACAGAAATGTGTATCCCGATACCTTTCAAATTCTTGATACATGTATGTATGTTGATGATCTTGTTACAGGAGGAGCAGATGATGTATCAGAAGCCTTAAAAACTTCAAGGGAAGCAAAGGAAATTATGCGTGGAGCTGGGATGAATCTACACAAATGGGTGACGAATGATAGTCATTTAGCTAAAATATGGGAAGAAGAAAATTTTGACATTCATCCGCTAAGCTCAAAGGACATACTAAAGGTATTAGGAATTCAATGGAACATTCAGGAAGATAGTTTGAGTATAGAGACTTCTTGTTTGACGGAAATTTCGAGGAGAAAAAAAAGTACCAAACGCTTCATCCTGCAAACAGCTGGAAAAATATATGATCCTCTTGGACTCATCACACCATTCACTGTTAGAATAAAACTTTTACTACAAAAGCTATGGTTACGTAAATTACCATGGGATGAAGAGCTTCCTTCTGATTTGAACGACGAGTGGTCTCAGTGGTGTAGCGAGCTTTCAGAACTTAGTAACATTAGTGTTCCAAGATTTGCTTTGGATTCATGTGATGAAAATATAGAGATCCATGTTTTTTCTGACGCAAGTCAAAGGTTGTATGGTGCAGCCGTTTACGTAAAGGTACAGAATCAAGAAAAAATTTCTGTGAATTTGCTGGCTTCCAAGAGCAGAGTTTCACCTGTCAAAAAAGTTTCCTTGCCTCGACTTGAATTGCTGGGTGCACTGATTGCTGCAAGATTGGGAACGGAAGTTAAAAAAGTTTTAGATCGTAAAGGTTCATCTAATATCTTTTTTTTTTGGAGTGATTCTAAAGTTACACTGTATTGGATTAAAGGATCAAGCAGGAGATGGAAGTCTTTCGTTCAAAATCGCAGTCGACGAGATTCAGAAGTTGACTAATCCAGATTCATGGTTTTATTGTTCAACCAAAGGACAATCCAGCCGATCTTCTAACGCGTGGAGTTAGT